CCCTGACTGCTTAGCTGAATAGATGGACCTTACAACAGGAATCAAAGATCAACAAATTCTGTCAGTTCTGGGCCCCAGGGTTGAAGGTTAGGGTTAAGGGAGCAGAGCCCCTCATGGAGAAAGTCTGCAGCATTTCTGTACTGACGAAGATTTAGGCTTATTGTCTTATACATGATCTTTAGAATATGTTTTATTACCATTTTTGCTTGGTTTAATTATAATTGAATGCTAGCCCTCAGGACAGTGAGCAATGCAATTGTTTCTGTCTGTCAGCTCTTCCCATCAGTAGGAGTCTTGTTTGCTCAGACAAAACACCTTTCATTCCTGTGCTTCCCAACCTGCCCTGGTGCCTTGCTGGAATGTAACGTCTCCACCAGTTGATGTCCCTCAGTGCCTTGCTGGCCAGTTCCTTTCCTGAATACTGGACAAAACTCGTGATGTTTGTATGTTGAGTTCTGTACTAGCAGCAGGAACATTAGACATGTTTGAAATGTAGATGGGCCATAGGGAAAACAGAAGTGGGGCAAACAGGAATTCTCTGTCACCTCCTAGAGCCTTAACTTGAGCAGACATGGCTCCCAGCATCTAGAAAACTTGTCCAATGTCCACTACTTTCCTCCATATCCTAAAAGTCATCTAAACAGTTAAAGAAATTACCAGCTATTTTTTAGGGGTCAGTGCACATAGACTTTAATATCCGTTTTATACAGGATGTTAATGGAATGCCACATGCACATGGAGGCATCATATTAGGGACATTTTGGGAGTTCTGGACATCTTTAGAGAGATCGGTCAGACTGTGATGATTCAGCACTAACGAGATCAGAAGTTAGTTAAGATTTCCTCCTCCTTCTCTGAAGGTGCCATCTGTCTTTGCATACATTTTGCTCCCTTTGAGTGCATTTTTAATATCGGTTAATTCTAGTGCTTAACAGTTTGGATCTTTCTATGATTTGGGGAATTACGTATGGCTCTTGGAGGAAAAAAAATGAAAATGGCCATGTTGAGAACATTACTAAAGTAATAAAGGGGTGAGTGAGGGGAAGATTCCAGCTTCCAGGGGTCTGTGTGATGGGGTTGGGAAGATTTTACCTCTTCCAAAAACAACATGCTGTTAGGGAATAGAAGAGTGTGAAAATTGGGATCATTTTTTTCCTATCCTCAGCCAAAATGAGTGGCAGAATAGAGCATCCAAACAACACCTACTATATAAGGGAATGTTTTGGAGCCCCTTTGCATTGGTTCTGGCCAACTTATTTTATAATCCTTTTTGAGGAGAAGAAAGAAACTGGGCTCAGCTTCAATTTGTATGCATAATGGGGTGAGTTAAGGACAGTTTGCCTTGTCTGTGTGGATGTAAGCCAGATCTGTTGTGTTCTTTTTCACCAGGGTTTCTGCAATGGTCCTTTTTTTTTTTCTCCCTCCAAATTACTGTCCCTTGCTACTCTTCAATGTCATTTCTGGCACAAACACACTGGGCTGACTGGTGTTCTATAAATCCTGTAGATACATTGCATAGGAATCTGTGCATCTATACCAAAGACAGCTTTTAAAGCCTCCATGAAATCTATCTGCAAACCTCAAGTCCAGGAAGCACAGTGTTTCCATATTTATTTCTTAAATGTCTGAGGTAAAATACCATCTAGCTTTTCTTGTTTGCAATGAGAAACTCCCTTTCTGCCTCCCCTGTCCCCCACCATGAGATTTTGGTGAAAACAAGGCTGCAATGCGCACTGTAAGAGCTACATTGGAAAATCTTGGTCTTGTTCAGAGACTGCCCTCAAGAATCAAAGGCCTCTTCAAATGTCTGTGGACAGTGGATTAGCAGCAAGTCTGTCATCCTAACAGCTTTTGAAGACATGGGCTGCCACATCTGCAGATATTGAAAAAAAGGTTAACATCATTCCAGAGTTGAAACAATAAAATAGATCCGCTTCAAGAACAGGAGCTTGTCCCCCTACAAGTGCAAGTAGTCTGCTGAAATGGAAAGGCTGCTGCAAAACCTAATTATAAATGAACGATCCAGATTTCACACAATATGGAAGTTCAGTGAAAACTTGTTGTATGACAGGGATAAAATCCTCTAAGACAACTGAAATAAAGAAGGTCTTTTTATATCAAGAAAACTCAAATATTGAAGTATAATAATAATGAAATATTGCGTAGCACTAGTTCACACATTCGGTACATTAATAATAATGAACATCTGCTCTGTAAGTGCAGTCAATTTCACAATATATTTGAACCTAAATACTTAAACTGTATCATTTAATTTTCCTGCCAACCTTGTGTTTCAAGCTTGGATATGTTTCCTACTCCCTTTTACACATAGCCTCCTGGGCGTCTAGCATCTGACAGTGTGTTGATGATTAGAACCTTGATCTGTACTAACTGCTGCTCTTTTGTCATGCTGCTCACTCTCAAACAGCTTCCATCTTGCTCAACCATTTACTTTATGCCCTAAGAACACAGTCCTGCACTGCTTTCACAGGTACACATTTTAACCTCAGTTAGTTCTAGCCTATTCCCCCTCTTCCAGACCAAGGGCATCATAATTTGAAATCTCTCTGAACAATGTCTTCATTTTTACAGACTTCAAATTTTCCTAATATGACTGAGTGCTGCCATATCTCCAGATCCAAATGTTCCTTTCTGACTGAATTATAATGGCTTTAATTGTCTGAGACTAAGACAACAAAAAATAACAAAAAAAGAATCAAGCTAATATAACAGGTAGCTTCTTATTTACAAGCAGTATCCAAATGCCTTCATTCTTGCATCAGGCTAAGATTTGCCAGAGTGTCTGGTTATTATTTTGAGGACACACATTTTTGGATGCCTGATTGAAGACCTGCTGGGTGCCTGTTTTCTGAGGGTGGCTGTTTAATGCTTTCTGAAATTTGGGACCCTTTTAGGTGTCTCAAAGTGAGCACTGTCAAATTGAAGCTAATATTTAAAATATTACCTTCAGTCTTGACTCCAGTGCACTGAATATACAAACTATCTACACTAATATGCAAACATTAATGACCATATATTAATATCCTCATAACCTCTTTCTTACACCCACAGTACTATATTCTCATTTCTCCTATTGAGACTTTTTTCTTACAGACCCCCGTCTCTTTGTTACCTTAGTATATCTAGCATATTTGGCTTCATATATTCCTTTGCCTCATGTTAGTTCTTGGCTTGTAGTTCACTATTTGTCACAACTCCTGTATTTGTAAAGGCAATGAGCGTCAATGTGTGTTTCAGTTTTTGAGTAGTTTCCACTCTCAATTTGCTACTGTTTACCCAATTACTTTAATAACTTTTATTGTTCAGCAGCCTCTCTTTCAGTTTCTGTTAGCCTCCAAAAGTTATTTCATTTCTGTTTACAGGTAGAAAATTAAAAGCTGGCTTCCCTCCCCCCCACTCCCCCAAATGCTGCCTAGGCAGTATTTATGTTGGCAAATCTAATATCAGAAATATGCTATTTGACATCAACCACTTTGAAGATCAGCCCACTTGCTGAAGTATGCTTTTATAAACCTACCTTTAGCCATTCAGATCTGAAAAATGTTGTCCAGGAGACTGTTGTTTTTCTCGATATCTTGTCCCTGGGCATTGTATCAGTACACGGCACCCACGAGGAGATGAAATGCTACTCAGCATTGAGATGGGCATTACACAGTTCCATGGCCATATCTAAAGAGTGAATTCCCTGCTGAAAGTAAATGATATAAGCAGAGAGAGAATTTTTAATGGCTCAGAGGCAGAATCAAACATGGGTGCATTAAAGACAATGAAACAATTTATATGTGTAAGATGAAGGAAAACCTAAAAGAGGTGATGTAGGTCATAGAAAAGAAGCTAGATCTGACTGCTCTAGTGTAGAGATAATTGTCTTTCCAGCAGTGGACAGGAAACAGAAGTATGCTTCTTTTATTAATTCTTTCCTTAAGGGAAAATGTTCAGTTGAGGATTCTGTCCCAGGCTTTGAAATAGAAAGAGCACATAGTCCAAATTCACTCCAGATCAAAGGCCAAGAGCAGCAATTATTAAATTCTTCAGATTCCAAGGCTTGGAGAAATGACTGAAGTTAGGAAGGGAAATGTATTCAATTACATACAAAAGCTATAAGATAATGTTCACTGATCTGAGCAATGGAATTTAATGTTGAGGCATGCAGTATGGTGCCCTGTGAAATGCCAGACCTAGGTTTTGAATAGTCCTGAAGAAATGGGCATCTTCCTCAGTACTATTATGGACATTGGCACTGAGAAGACGGAGTCCAGGAATAGACATGTACCGATGAAAGAGAAATGCAGAGGAACTGAATTAGAATCTGCATATTAATGATTGGGAATAAATTTTGGTAAGATAAGGCCCTTTGTGGGGACCTAGGGA